GAATAAATGAACACTCATTTTTATTTTTGATTACGGAGAATCAATTTACAACATCAGTTGTATTTTTCTACTTTTGCAAATTTAATTTATCTCTAAGGATATTATTAATTTTGTCTAATTTAATTTTGTTTACATGTCCAATCTAACTTTTTGAGGGAACCAGTAACCTACAAGAAAGTTTGTTTTGAAAATTCGGTTTATGGTCTTTTAGTGTTACGAAGGCTTGAGCAGGGGCAATTGATTAATTCTGTTATCATAATAGAATTGAGTCAACTGCTCTGTACATATTTCATAAAAAAACTATAAATTAATTATAAGTAAAGCAAATTTAAAAAATCAGAGGTAAGAGTTGTAAATTTGAAAAAATTTATTAAAAATTTTGAAACACTGTTTCTTAATCAAATTTGTCTTAAAGTTAATAACTTTTTATTTATACTTTTGTTATACTAATATCATTCATTTCACGTGAAAGAATGAAATTATAATTAAAATATCAGAAACAGGGCACAATACTTAAAAATAAAAGAGATATAAGAGTTTATAAAACTATTCTTAGTTGATTATTTTATCTAAAATCTTTATGGTTAAGTAACAAACACTGAAAATTTCTGACAAAGAAAAAATTTTTTAACCTCTACTTATCAGGTTTTGTAAAAAATATTAAAATTAAAAAGTTATAAAAACAATTAACAATGTTTTTTCAATAAATATAAATTATTAGAAATAAAATGAATAATGAAAAAAATAAATAAGGTAATATTAATAGGTATTTTATGCAAAATGTTTATATTTTTATAAAGGAACAATAAATTTTGCATTGAATGTTATAATAAAATAAAACTAAATTTTTTTAAAAAACTTGAGTATTTTTCTATATGAGCTACCTTAAGTTTACCAATCTATAAAGAAAATAGTTTAGACAGATTCTGGTACATTAAAGAGTTTTAAGTTTTTGCCATCTGTTATTTCTAATTTATATATATAAATAAGACTTCGGTAAAGTATCTGTACAATTAAATTCATTTATATATGGTGATGATACTGATTTGTTAATATCCAACAGTGATAATATTCGGCTATATGGTAATATAAATATAGAGCTGATAAAAATAAATAATTGGTTTAAAGCTAATAAAATCTTATTAAATGTAGGTAAACTCTTGATATATTAACTGCTGCTTCGCAAAAATATCTGACGGGTATAGGCTAATATAAGAATATAGTCTAATTTTATTATATCACTTATTTAATCCAAGCTTTCAGTTTCGTTAAAATCCAATTTATTTAATACATGTATTTTTTCCATTTATTTTTTACCTATAAAAAAGGAATTGCAGCTCTTTCAATGATATATAACAATTTAATATTATATCAGTATAAACATGCTACTTACCTAATGGAAACTCTTTCTCAATAATATATATATATATATATATATATATATATATATATATATATATATATATATATATATATATATATATATATATATATATATATATATATATATATATATATATATATATATATATATATATATATATATATATATATATATATATAATTAGGTGAAAATCATTTAACAAATATTTTTTTCATTTATCACTGTTTCATTAATTAAGACTCATCAAAAATGCATTTCTAATGAGTCTTTATTGATAAAACACAGTGTTAAATAAAAAAAGTTTTTGTTAAGTGATTTTCTACAACTTGAATGTCTTTTTTTATTTTTGAGTGTCTTGTTTCATAATAATGATTAATTAGAGAAAGGTTTTTAAAAAAATATTTGGGAACTATTTGATTTTGAAGTTTAAACATAAATAACAAGATATTCAGTTCATATACGTTTAGAGCATTCATTTCCTTGAGTAACAGCTCAGCACTTTTGTACTAATCTGGGTCCAAAACTAATCGTAATGTTTTGTATAAATATTTTTCAGGAAAGAAGTATGCTATTATTACAATAGTTAATTTGACTTGTGTACAAATGAATTGTATAAACTTTTTAAATATTGAAATGATGTTTTGTCTTGTACATAATCCCGAAGTGAAATTTTATTCTCAACTTACTTTATTTAGCTTTTCTATTTTAAATGTTCATCAAAAATTATTCCAAGTATTTTCATTGAAAATTTTATTTTATTTTAATATTAATAATTGTTTGTTCTTTTATTTTAAGTGGATAATAAAATAACATTGCAGCCACTTTAAGTTTGAGTGAACTACTCCATAATTACATTGTTTGTACATAAAAATCTTGTGGTTGACAGTATCAAATGCTTTAGATAGATCTAAAAAATTACAAGTGTGTAACTATTGTTTTCAAAACGATTTAAAATATTATTTGCAAGAACAATTATTGCATGTTCTGTGAAATGGTTTTTGTGAAAACCAAACTGTTTATGTTAAAGTATGCTATTTATTCCAAGATAATTGTACAGCCTGTTTTGCATAAAACGCTCTTGTATTTTAGAAAAACAGGAAAGTTTGGAAATTGGTCTGTAGTTAGATTTTATCGAGTCACCGCCGCCTTTGTACATTGGAATTATTTTTGCTACTTTGGTCAGGAAAAATGCAGTCTTTTCGAGAAAGATAAAAAATTATAAAAAGAGATTTCTCTATAGTATCTGAGACTGCTTTTACAACATCAGGGTTAATTTCATCCAGAGTTGCACTCTTATTTGTTTTCAACATACTAATCGCTAGCCGAAGTTCATCAACTGAAAGCTTTTGAACCAACTTATAGCGTTTCCTGCATTCAAGTTTTTTAAGCAAAATATTAAGATCGATCATGTCGAAGGCTTTTGACAAGTCTATGAAAACACCATGCTATCAATTTTTTATAGTTTGGATAGTAAAGTATCCATTTTGTTTTATCAGTATTTAAAGATAGCAGTTTTTTCAAGTTCTCAGTATTAAAAAGTTGAATTGTTACAAGTTGAAAAAACTTTTTTTATTTCAATATTGTTAATTGTTAGTTTTGTTTTTTAAGTGGAAGATTTTCAGATTTTGATTTTTTAGCAAACAAAATATATAATATTTTGTAGTATTTAATGAAAGTTTATTTGCTATAAACTACTCATTAAGATATATTAGTTCTGTATTTTCATAATGTAAAATATTTTTTAAATTTGAATCTGAAAAAAAAAACATTAGTGTCATCAGCAAAAATAATATAATTAAGTACTTTTGAGGACAAATAAATATCATTTATATAAATTAAAAACAACTAAGATGCAAGTATTTATCCTTGTGAAACACCGCAACTTATTGATTCAAATCATGTGCATGTTAAATATTATAGTTTGGATAGTAAAGTATCCATTTTGTTTTATCAGTATTTAAAGATATTATTGCAGCAAATTTTTTTATACCAAAATATAACTTTTTCAAGTTCTCAGTTTTAAAAAGTATTTTTATATTTTCATGTGACTGAAACAAGTTTAAGTTGTCTGCAAAAATTATAGTTTTTAAATTGCATGCTTTCCATAACAAGCATACTCATTAACAAAAAATGTCAAACCTTTTTAATAACTTCTTTACAACTATTGCTTCAAAATTATCCTACAAAATTCCAAATTCTAAATTCAACTATCATGAGTACCTGACCAATCCTACTTGCAACTCTTTTTAAGGAAGGAGTGTTGGACCAAACAGTCTTCCAACAAAACTTTTTAAAATGGTGTCAGGAACTCTATGTAAACCAATTAGTACCACTTTAAACAATTCATTTAGCAAAGGAACATTTTCTGATGCCTTTAATCTAGCTCAAATTATTCCGATTGACAAAAATGGATCTACAACTGACTGCACTTACTATCATCCAATATCTCTTCTTTCTAATGTAAGCAAAATATTTGAAAAAGTTATGCATAATAAACTATACAACTTTCTAAACCAAAATCAATGCTTATATAAACACCAGTTTATTTTCGTGAAAAGTATTCGACAGCTCACGCTCTTATTGAAATTACAGATAGTATAAGAGTTGCTCTTGATAAAGGCAATTTTGCTTGTGGGGTTTTTGCTGATTAAAAAAAACCTTTTGACACCGTAGACCCTGAAATTCTCCTCTCAAAGCTTAACTACTATGGTGTACGTGGAACCAGCTCAGATATTAAAAACGTTTCAATTGGTATACCTCAGGTCCTCTTCTCTTTATTATCTATATTAATAATCTCAATCTTTCAAACATTCAAAAACGTATTATTATGCTGATGATACTAATCTTCAATTAATTATAAACACTCTCAAAAAATTTAATAAATATATTAATCAGGATATGCCCAGTCTTGTTTAACGTATTATCTTGGTGTTGTGTTAGATGAAAAACTTTCATTCAAAACACACATATCTGGTCTTACTCCGAAGTTAAGCTGTTCCAATGGCATGTTAGCAAAAGTTTGGCACATTGAAACATTGCTCTCTTATTATGTCAAGTTTTGTTTTAAAGCAATAGGCACAATCTAAAACCGTATGTCTCTCTAGAGTTGTTTCAATTCAATATACAGCAATTTGGATTATTCATTTTTGTTCAAGAAATTTTCTTACTGACATCTTATATCTTACATCCAAAATTCTTCGTTTCTATGACTTAATTCAGTTCCTAAATTGTTCATTTGTCTGGGATCAACAACTTTTTTTACTATATTTTTAACCTACTTTTTTATGTGGTTTTTTTTATTACATTATATTCACTACTTGCAATGATCTGTGTTTTTGTAACATCTGTAACACAAATATATATTGTTATTGTTTTATTTGTTTTTGTTTAAACTTTATAACTTTTTGTTTATAGCTTTGTTATATTAGTATCATTCATTTCACATAAAAGAATAAAAAAATTATTAAAATATCAAAAACAGGGCACAATACAAAAAATAAAAAAAACGAAAGTTATATAAGTTTATAAAAATATTCTTAGTTGATTATTTTATCTAAAATTTTTATGGTTAAGGAACAAACACTGAAAATTTCTGACAAAGAAAAAATTTCTTAACCTCTAGTTATCACGTTTTGAAGCTGTAAAAAAGAATAAAATTAAAAAGTTATAAAAACAATTAACAATGTTTTTCAATAAATATACATTATTAGAAATAAAATGAAACTGAATAATAAAAAAAATAAGGTAATATTAATAAGTATTTTATGCAAAATATATTTTTATAAAAGAATGATAAAATTTGCATAGAATGTTATAATAAAAAAAAAAAAATTTTTTTTAAAAAACTTGAGTACTTTTTTTATACCTCAAGTTTACTGATCTATAAAGAAAATAATAGTTTTGACAGATTCTGGTACGTAAAGAGTTTAATTTTTTGCCATCTGTTATTTCTAATTTATATATATAAATAAAGACTTCTGCAATGTATCTGTAAAATTAAATTCATTTATATATGGTGATGATACTAATTTGTTAAACATTTTTAGAACATACAGGAGCAATGACATCAGGTTTTTTCACCCTTCAGGTGCACACCCTTCAGTATTAACTTGGATATCATTTTCTGTTAAATATAAAATAATTTTCTTTATTTTATGAAAATTTACTAGAGTAGTTTTAAAACATTTACAACCCCTACTCTAAATAACAATGAATATCATTATTGTTTATATGCAACAATATAAATCATAAATAACTATAGTAAAAATTAGTTTTTTCACTTACTTTCATTAATTATCCTCTTTTTTTCAACTTTGTCACTTTTTGATTGAGCAAATGGTTTTAATTTTTTGCATGAGTTGGGATGTTTCTCAAAGAGTTTTCTTTTACCTAAAATTTTTAAACAAGTAGTATTATTGAAATTTACTTATTATATACAACAAAAAGTTTAAGAAATGCTATTTAACAGTAATAAATTGTGCTGAACAAACATAAACATTCGAAGATTTAAGAGACCACAGTTTGTTTGACGAAGTGCTATCTGCTGCACGATTTATCGCTTTTAACCATTTTATGTGATAAAATTTAGATTCTTTGTTTTTTTTACAATTAGTTGTGCAACCTACAACACAACAACTCTTTGGCATCTTTGGCATCAAAATGGTTAAAATAATGTAGATTTTTGTGTTTGTTTTCCCTCCATTCAAAATGGTTAATTTATTTTGCAATACGGCGTGATGTTATGCCAACTAGATGGACTACCATGTTATGACAATATAAAACAAGGCACTATATCCATGGTTATAGTATTTAACTGGTCTGGAAACGTGGGTCGTTATTTATGGATTTTGTAAAATAACTTGAACTTTATGGGGTGACCAGAATGAGAGTGCATCAAATATTTTTTTAACTGATAGTTTATGGCACAGACTTTGATATTTTGAACGAATTCATTGCTGTTTTAGCTGCTATTGAGTTGCTGTTTGTTGGAAACAGACCTCAAATTTACATTAAATGTTAGGTTACTTACTTTAATTTATCCTTACCAAAGCGAAGAAAGTATATTTATGTGTTTGTTTTGCAAGAAATGATGTATATCTCAAGGTAACTGATCATCTCAACGCCAAACACAAAGAAAAGATTACTGATAAACAATTTAAGAAAGAATAAAAGAAAGCAAAAATTCTTCTTTAACCTATTTGGTTTTAAAATTTTTAATTCAGAATGCAGTAAAGCTTGTTTCAGATAAATGGCACCCTGCTATAATTTGAATTTAAAATCAAGTATAAATGTTTCAATTATTTTAGAAGAAGTCATTACAGCTTAATTTTTAGTAAAAATGTAACTAATTCATTTGATAGAAATTCTGAAATTTTTACCGAAGAATATTTCCTGAAACAACAAGTTCTTTTTAAAACCATAGCCAAAATTGTACTTTTCTTTAAAGATTTGAAGTAGCAAATCTTATTTTTGTTTATCTGACTGGTACCTTTTTTTGTCAATGATATTATAAAGTTGTATCTTACTACATTACTAAACAAAATATTCTGTTACGACTTAGTGAAAATGTTTTTGGTATCTCGTATTCTACAATTAGTGTTTATTGTTTATGCTTGCTGCTTAATGTGCAGTTTAACACTTTTTATACAAGTTTGAAGATTTTATATCAATATAAAATTTTCAAACCTTTTTAATGTTTATTTTTTAAAATAGAGGGTGTTTTTTAATAATTCTTCTTTACATACCAATTTAGTTTGACTTTTTCAATTCTTCAAAGTTTTCACATTATCTTTTGAAATTGCAAAAGATAAGGTGAAAGCTTTAAAGATTTAAAAAACTAAATTGATATGTAAAGGAGAATTATTAAAAAACACCCTCTATTTTGAAACATAAACATTAAAAAGGAAGTGTGATGATTTAAACCTACTAAAACGGCTATTTTTATAGCCAAATATTTTTTTAAAGTACTATTGGTATATAATTAACTCTTGAAGTGGTAAAATAAATACTTAATGTATATTTAATAGTTTTATGGTGTAGTAACTTTACAATAGTAATACAAGATTAAATAATAAAAATAATACAATTCTCTTTTAATTTTACAATAAATAAAATAATGACACCGCTAATATTTTACACATATTTTATAAATATATATATATTTAATTTTGGACAAATGTAATAATTAATAATAATTATCTTGTGAATAATACAAACAATTTTTACTTGCTTTTAGCTTGTTTGTTTTTTTTTTGGCATAACTCAGTACTATATTACTATCATACAATACAATGTATTATTTATGTAACTAAATACATTACATTTCCAGCTACTAAAAATATTTTTTTAAATCAGCAAATGAAATCAGCAGACAGAGAACTGCCCAACCTGGCAGTTAAAGAAAATGCAATTCCTGCTGAAAGTCAAATAATGCTCTTAGTTAATACAGGCAGGGGAGCAGAATTACAACCTGCTGTAAATAATATAGCTAATTCAATTGAAATAGTAACCAATGTTGAAGAGATTAAAATGGTAACATTAAAATTAAACTAATGAAGAACAGCCTATTATTGTGACAGTTGAACAAGAAGTAATTGAAGGGGATCTGGAAAGGCAGCTTGTAAAATTTTATCTCGCATCATTTTATGCAATCGTTAAAGCGATTGCTTAAACGCATCTGCTTGATAGACCTTTGCATACTGCAGTGGAAAAGTCGATCAGTGTAAAACAAAAAGCAGGCTTTTTAGAATTTTAAAACATGCCCGGGGTTTAAGATAACCTTAAAGAGTAGAGAATTGAGAGTTTTGAGATGGTTTCAGACCTTTTATGTTATTAAATGAAGAAGAAAACTGTTTGTAAGATTCTTGACGGTACTTTTAGGGACACACCTCTGAAAGAGATTAGTCCAAGGTTGAAGGAAGTACAATGTGCGTACGTTGACCCGCTGAGGTAAGGACTCAGTTTGATGCCACTAGGATATTTTACAATGATGAAAGACTTGACTAAGTAAGCTACGGCAGCATTACGATTAGGGAGGTAAAAGACACAATCAGCACAAGCAAAAAGGATTCCACTGTGGATCCAGACAGCTTGCACCTATAATGCTTTCTGTCTCACATGGAAGCACAGACAAAAAAAAACCTGTGCTTCCATGTGAGACAGAAAGCATTATCAGCAAACTTTCCATGTTTGGTCAATGCATAGAATTCATTGATTGATAACCTGTACCACTGCGCCATTGATGCAGTTCATATAGCAATGGTTGGCCATGTTCGTTTTACGATCAGCCGACTGTGCCGACAATGCCAACCTTGTTCCAGACTTAAAACATGTTTATAATTAAAAAAAAAAAAAATTGAGTTTGCGCATGCATTATTTTTATAAAGACTTGCCATCTTTGACTTTTTTACAAATGTCAGTATCCTTATAACTTTTATTGATTTCTATTTGTTATAATGTTATTGGAATTCATTAACAAATGATAAGAAATATTTTATTGCAAAACACATTGTAGTGGCACATATATTTGATTTTATTTTAAAAGAAAGTAAATATTTCTTGAAGATCTCAAATCATTTTTACCTTATTTTATTTATATTAAATAAAATAAATAATTTAATTTATTACTTATGACAATATGTTACATAATGTCATACTATTTGATGTTATTTTAAAAGTAAGATATTGTTTTTTAGTAATGTTGCAGAATAGTGGTGTAAAATCATTTTACTTTTTCGCTTGTTGCGTTCTCATCAGTGGAGGCTTCTAAAAATTAGAAATATTAATTGAAATAATATACATAACCTGTTTTTTGAGGATCTCAAATCATTTATACTTTATACTATAAAGTATAAATGATTCGAGATTCTCAAAAAACATTTACTTACTTGTAAAGCAAAATCAAATATTATGATATTATGTAATTTTGAGCAAATCTTGCAACACCATTTTGAGCAAATCTTGCAACAAGCGAAAAAATAAAACTATTTTACACTGCTTAACTGCAGATTAACCTTATTATTATTATAATTAATGATATTAATTTTAAATAAATAATATAAAGATTTATATAAATATTTAGTATTTTTTTTTTTAATAATTTAGATATACTTTATGATATTATTATGTTTTAAAATACAACTTGTGAAGCCGTGAACCGTGTTTTGATATATATAAACATACGTGGCTATAAAAAATGTATATTAAAGATGGCTTACTTATAAGAATATATATATTTAAGTGTAGTACAGTGTTTTATTAACGACACAACAATGGCGCTACGAGTAAGGGACGATTTGACTTTAGATGACCCAGATAATGCAGAAGCATGGATTAGATGCTTTTCAGCTTCCGCACGTTCAAAGAAATTAAAAGATGAGATAAACGGTAGCTACGAGATAACAGATTTATTTATGGCAAAAGCAGGGATTGAAGCAGTTAAAAAGATTTCTCTTATGGTATATCCAGAAGAATTAGAAAATATGATGTTCGATGATGTTAAAACTGTTGTTATGTCCCATTTGAGACCTCAAAAACGACTAATTATTGCTGAAAGAGTTCGATTTTTAGCATTAAAACAGCAAAACAATGAAAACATCGTATCATATGCACAAAGATTACGTGAAACTCCACGCTTTTGCAACTTCGAAAAATTGGGAAGAGATGGCCAAAGTGCGGAAGATGATTTGATTCAAATGAGATTGATTGATGGTCTCCAATCTTCTGATCAGAGAGTTAAAGCTCTAGAAATGATACAGAGTGGAGAATCGCTTAAACTAGGAGCCTGTATTGATTTTATCAGGCAACTGGAGCAAATATCCTGTTTTAGTATACAAAACAACATCGAAAACAGCATAGACCTTCCTTCAGTTAATTACATTGATAAAAATAAAGAAAGAATGATTAAATGCAAGTATTGTGGCCTTCAACACCCACCTAGGAAATGCCCAGCATTTGGGAAGAGTTGTAAAAAATGTGGAAAGCTGAACCACTTTAAAAACGTATGCAAAGCAAACACTAAATATGAAAAAATAGTAGAGGAAATAGAGAACGATGATGCTAGTATGTATTCCATTAACATGAATGATACAAACTCAGAGATTAGTGTAAAAATTAATGACTACAATATAAAAATGCAAGTTGACACCGGAAGTCAAGTCACAACTATTCCAAAAATTTTTTGGGAACTAATGTCTAAACCGAAATTACAAAAATGCTACCTTCGCCTGAAACAGTTTGATGGCACAGTTATAAAAGTCCTAGGCGAATTTGAGGCAACTTTGGAAACCGAATCAAAAATGAATATCGTACAAATTATTGTTGCAGACTGTACAAAAAAATCATGGTCTAATTGGTATGGATGTATTAAATATCAACGCCACAAAATTAGT